TAGGAAATAAGAGTCACACCTAAAAAGTTCGATTTGGTAAGGCATCAATATAGAAAAGTTATTATTATATTAAATAAAATAATCATTAAGGCCGTATAAAAAGGTCTTCCACGAATTCTATAAACATACCCCTGCGAATGCTGTAAAATCGTGACACAGAGTTCCACAGCCAGAGCTGCAGCGATCATGGAGACACCAGGGCGAGATACAGTACATTGTTGATCAAGACTTCGATCTCGGGTTGACTAAACAGAAAAAGGGTCGGAATAAGACAAAAAAAGAGAAAAGGGATGAAATTGATATTCATGAAAAAATCGGTAGTGCGTGAATCTTCTGAAGTCATTTAACACACAAGCGAATCAAATCTTGCTGAAAGGAGCAAGATTAAATGCTAAATAAAAACAAAACAGTAAAGTTTACGACTATAAACATCTCATGCACATCAAGAAGTCGAAATTATGAGAAGTTCCTCTAGTTAATCAGAGAACCTAGACTAAGAAGATAGACTTCAAGATAAGACGAAAAGAGGCAGTTGCCAAGGGTAATTCCTCAAAGGCTCGTTTTTTAAGCAAAAATCAGACAAGATAAAGACCAAGGTGTTGTAGCCTTTAACGAGTTGTAGCTTGGTCCTAAGAATAGCAAGACTCATTGACGATGCTGACTATCATGCCGGTAAAATGTCAGAGAATGTATCAAACTAACGCTCCATAATACCAAGTCTATGACTTGCCATGCCCTAATTGCTTGTGTGCCAACCCACAAATGTTGTGGTACTGCTGGCTTTGTTTTGGTTCAATGTTGAACTACAACGTTCGTAGGTTGGCACACAAGAAACTATGGCATAGCAAGTCATAGACTTGGTATAATAAATAGAAAGAGGATAGAAACAGTGGAAGCTAGAGCTAGTTGGCTAACAATAGCCGTGCTTCATGGATCACGTTTATGATCAAACACGTCTTTTGTTAGCCAACTAGCTATAGCTTCCACTGTTTCTATCCTCTTTCTATCTATGATACCAAGTATATGACTTGCTATGCCCTAGTCTCTTGCGTGCCAACCCACAAACTTTGTGGTTCAACATTGTACCTAATCAAAGCCAGCAGTACCACAACATTTCTGGGTTATCACACAAGCGACTAGGGCATGGCAAGTCATACACTTGGTATTAGGGATAGAGACCGGATAGCCGGGGCGGCGATTGGAGCTAGTTGGCTGACAGTAGGTTTTACAAGACATAGTGAAGATGTGAAGACTAAGATGTTGTGGCCTCGGGTATGGTCGCAGTCTCCTTTCGACTTATAGAAGTGGGTTGACCTTGTTGTAGCAACTTGGTCTTGTGCTCAGGGAGACTATGTAGAACGTACCGAGTCCGAAGTCGTCTGCCATAGTAGTTTTCTTGATTCCCAGCATCTGACAGTGGACTTGATACATT